GCATTGTATGAAGGACAGTTTCTGCACCACAGCCATGTGAGTGTGTGTATGCTTGTGTTTGTCTGTGTCCCTGCCTGCTAACAGCCTAATTGGGGATCATTATTAACTTGCTTCTTCCTGGACGAGTCTCATTGGGCCGGAGAAAGGATTGATCGTGGACCTTTCCTGCTCCCTCCATCCTCTGTCACCTACCATTGACCAGCCTCTCCCCTGCGGAATAGAGCAGTTACTGATGATGATGATGATGATGATAATGATGATGATGATGATGAGGACTGGCCTGGTGGTCAATGGACGGACAAACCCTTTAGGCTGTAGTTCCCTCTCTTCCCTTGTTTTTTTTTTTTCCCAAACTCTCTCCAGTCGAGGTTCTCATGGAGGGTTTGTGTGCAGGAGTCTGTTCTCATGGCCTCGCGCTCGTTAACTGGAACCGATAAAGAGGCTGTTTTTAACATAGAGTAGCATTAGCAAAGTTGGCAGATAAACTGTTGAAAGTGCTGATTTTTTTTTTTAATTTTATTTTTTACGTGTGTGAGCGATTTTGGTTGCCGCACTCCCTCATACCGTTTCACAGATTTACTCGATATCCGTTATGCTTTTTACAGGGTCTGTTTGGGTTTTTAATTTGTTTGAGAAAAAGATCTGCCCTGGGGTGTAATTATAATGTTGGACCACATGAGGCTGCGTTGTTGGCCTGTAAACATCCTACCCCCACTGGCTTCCACTGCAAGCAGTCAACTCCCATTGACCTGAGGCTGTTACACTATTAAGTGTGAAGGCTCTTTTCACTCTGAATTATAGATGACTGTCAGCCGAGCCAAAACTCTAACCTTACATGTGCATATAGTTAAAAACTTAGTAGCAAACAGTGTTGTATATTGCGAAATCCAGAGTTTGTTTACACCATGTCTCTGGGCTTGAAGGTGTGACATGAAGTCAGGCATATCCCCAAATGACTCCTGGCGTTGTTGAAGTAATAACAGTTTCATTATCATTTTAGGAAATGAGGTGTCTGGTGCAGCTTTAGTGATATTATAGGTGTTTTCGCTCCAAGTGTTTCTCTGTATACTCTCTGGGGGGAAAAAAGCAGGGTTGTGGCTCGTTGTCAAATGCGTCATTCATTACCAAACTCTGGGAACATCCCTCTCTGTGTGTGCATGCGACTGTGTGTGTTGTTTGCGTAGCCTCATATTCACAAATGTAGTTTAATTTAAACCCACCACCAATAAAAAGTGCCTACTGGTTTACACGCGGCTCGTAACTCCGAGACACAGCCTCAGAAGCTCCAAACTGACGTCTCATTGGCGGCTGGCTCTGGGATCTGCACCTGTCCCTGGTGCACAAACACACACTGATACTGTGTGCACATGCACACTGACATTCTCACTTATTTTGTACGTACACACACCACTTCAAAAAGAGCCCAAGTTTAAAAGGTTATAAGGCTGTCATGAATTGCTTTGGTTGATTCTTTCGTGTGTAATGAAAGAAGTGCTAATGAATTGAGTGCTCGCTACAAACAGGCCAAACCAAAGTTGTTTCTCTGATCTTCCTTTGCCTTCACACAATCAGTTTCACCCTCTCATGTTCATGGTTAATGTCTGTCATCGAAGCCTGCTGTCAAGCATCTGTCCTAATAATGCTTGATTGCCTGCTTATTAACTCGAATCGTGTTAATAGGAGATCAGATGAAGGAGATGTATACATGTGTCTTTAATTGAATGGAAGTAAACTTGCACGGGCCACACACCACTACAGACGCAATGAACACACACTCAGAGGTGCAGATATACACACTGTGTGGTGTCTCTCCATACATCATACAGCATATTGTTGGAGCCACTTTCATTCTCCGAACCATTGCACTCTGCACAGTAAAAGCCACGGAGTAGCTCATTAATAGTCGAGCCAGCTTCAGCATGCTCTGAGAATATTTGCGTTGGGTGATTTGGGGGCGAGGAGGTGGGCACCCACTACCCAGCCATTCAAAACTTGTCCCCTGGAGCTGGATGAGAGAAAGTGACCGAGGAGAGAGGTTGTGCTTTCCCAAGGGAATTATATCCCAAGAAAAGATCGCCTGCTAGAACTTAGAGTGGCACTTTGTCTCTATTCTGTATCTACTGTTTTTTATCCCTGAAAAAGGTGGCTTGTTGCGCTGTGCTTTGCACTCTGGGGTAATAAGATCATATATTTATTAAGTAATATTTGGTGTGGCATTATATACATAACTTTTTCCCTTGTGGATGTCTCCTTAGTATTTACATCCCTACTCTACTCTCCATCTCTCAGCCCTGTATCTTCTATCATAGGTGCCCCCCACCCCTTACACACACACACACACACACACACACACACACACACACATATACACACCTTGTCTCCCCCCCCTAGGGGGCGTTGTGTAGTTGTGCAGTGCTAACGATCCAGGACTGTCACTCCCGCTGGGATGGATGAGCTGGCGGGCCCGGTGCTCAGGAAGCCTCATTAGGATTCGTCTTTAATCCGTCTCTGACAGGACCAGTCCGAGAACGGGATGTCCCCTCACACACACACACACACGCACACACACACACATGATAGAAGCATACACACTACATAGACACTGCCTTAGACTTACACATCACACGCAAACACAAATGCACCTTTGGCAATGCACAATGACTCACTGATACCCCCGACACACACACACACACACACACACACACACACACACACACATTGTTATGCTAATGATGTGTTATTCTTCCACCAACAAGGATCTTCCATCATCCCGATGTCACTGCCTATAGAAATCCACTACAGATCATAAGAGCTTATTATGGGTGATTAGTTAATTTGAGGGAGGGAGAGTTGGGGGGGATGCTGGGAGGTAGGAAGAGAAAGATCGTTTTCCTTCTCCGCTGTCGTCTCTACGTCTCACTCTCTCTCTCTTGCTCTCTTTTGTCTCGCTCTCCTTCTTATTCCCTCTCCTTCCTCTCCTTAGTGAGATATATTGATCAGCACGTTGACTGTATTATCAATAATCTCCTCTTTAGTCGTCCGCGAACAGTGATCTCCACTAATGAACCAGCACAGTTGTCACGCTGCTCTTTCTGTGTGTGTGTATATTTGTCTCTGAGACCGAGGAAAGCTCAGCCTGAAACTTTATAGGAAATGAAATGTAAAGGATAAGAAATGATACAGTGAGTTGAACTTTTACAACTATGTGTAATTGAAGACAACTTTAATTGAGTTGTTATAATAATTTCTTCTTTTCAAAATTATAATGATAGCAAAGCCAAGAAAAGTTCTATGACTGCTTTAGCACTGTGGATTATATGTGTGCTTGATACCAAACTGAAGCTATTTGGTCAAACAGATATTACAGTGTCCAAAAATCTCTGAGTTTTTCTGCCACTGTTTCGTGTTAAACAAAACTAGCCTCAAATAAATTCAGTCAGACATATAAATGAGATGAAAAAGACATAAACACAAAAGTAACAAGAAAGAAGTTACATCTATCATGTCCGTAGTCTGTGAACCATATGTGTGTATGATTGGTGTGTGTGGCGGCCTTATGTTGAGCGTGTGTTTGCCGTGGTCCATAGGCAGCTGCCGCAGCGTGGGCTTCATTATGTGGCCTTAATGACCTGCTGACAGCTCAGCGCTGACACTCACACAACACACACACACACACACACACGCATGCAGTGTAGTGGCATCACCGTACACTTGACAACAGAACAGCCAATTAAAGAAGGGGGAGGGGGAAAAGAGATGTATATTTATGTTTATGGGTCATAGAAATATACAGTAAGTCTCCTCTCCTCTCCTCTCCTCTCCTCTCCTCTGCAGCGCAGTCTGATAATGTGATTTCAGCTGTTTTGTCCCCGGTAATCCCCTTTTAATTATTAACACTGACATTATTAGGCTTTCACTATTAAGAGGCCTTTCATTAGAGCCAGACGACACCCTAAAGAGACATTTGAACTCTCTCTCTCTCCTCTTCTGTTTCTTTCTTTCCTTTTTTGGAGAACTGAAGTCATTTTGCATGCATGCATTTTACTTTAACAGTACTTTTCAAAGTGTTGTGTGTGCGATCAGCATTATATTTAGTTGTCTCCTGTTTGAGTGCATGTGTACAGTATGTGTTTGTCAGATTCTATTGTGATAATGTTTGGAGCTATTCAGTGAAGCATTTAAAGGACACTGCCATTGCAGAGGAGACTCAGGCTGGCTGGGTTCAACCCACCCTCAAAGGGGGTGATTTCTGCATTAAGGACCCTGTGGAGTGGGCGAGGAGGGGGGTTGAGGTTGCCTCCCACAACATGGCACGCTCCTTAAGCCATCAGGCATGGGGAGGGACGCCTAATTGAACATGATAAAGTGTAAAGTTAATTACCCCTCACGCCTGTCACTGATACCCCCATGAGGGGGGCTGGCCTCAGGCACAGCTGTTGGTGTGTACGTCTGTGTGTGTGTGTGTGTGTGTGTGTGTGTGTGTGTGAGACAGAGAGAGTAAGGGTGACAGGACAAAAGGCAAAGGTTCCCACGAGAGTTGTGCAGAGGATGATGGCAACAATCGGCTTTTAAAGATACCTCTGTCCCTCTGGTGCACCACTACTTAACACGCCTGTCCCACTATGAGTCTAACACACACACACACACACACACACACACACACACACACACAGAAGTACACAGCTGACCTTTTAGAAACAGTTGGTAGTGTTGAAACAGTCAAGTGGTTGATATATTATGTTCTTTTGTGTGGCAGATCCATACATTTTTTATACACCTGTTTACCAAATACAGGATGATTTGTCTGCACTTTTCAGTAATAAAATTTAACTCACTCTTCTACTTCTATAAAGTTTGCAGTGTGTTGCAGGTCCACAAGTCTGAGCTGGACTGTTTCGAATGCTGGGGATCGATATGTTGAATGTGTGTACAATCAAACACAGCATGTGCTCACCTCAGTTAACCTCAACACTGTGTTTGAACATGTGTTGTGCGTTTAGGGGTCGGGGCTGCCAGCATGGCCAAACTGACGTTCATGGTGGGTGGATTGGAGGAGGAATACAACGCTGCGCGGGAGCTGTTCACTTGTATGGGAGCCAATGTTGTCTACTGTGGACAGGTTGGCAGTGGCCAGGTAAAGACCCACGCACGCACACACACACACACACACACACACAATCAGAGTACATTCCATCTCGGTGTTTAAACTGCATCCTCACCTGCATACACAGAATTTCACTTATTTTAGTAACATCGTACATGTTGTATATACCCAAACTCACTGTATAAATACATGTACTTCTATGCACACTCAAGATTTTTGCAATCATTCATCCAGAGGTAACACATCATAGATGAGAGGCATTTAACTTTAAAAAAGGTGAAAAATTAATTGAAAAACAAAGCCCTTTATCCTCAAACCATTAAACCGTAAACCATTTTCTGTTGCTAATGGTAATTTACCTGTACATACAAAGATCTTTGACTTAGAATTCTGCTTCATATAAGGCTCCACACTTTAGCTGTTTTTCGTGAGACAATATGTCCATAATTTAGATTGGTAACAAAGATCAACAGATCATCTTTTATGAAACATTAGGAACAATTTGTTCTGAGCATCCTGAATATTAAACGGTTCTTTTTGAAACTTTTTTTTTTTTCCCCCAAAGATATTTTTGGGGGCATTTTAGCCTTTAATCGATAGGACAGCTTAAGCGTGAAAGGGTGAGAGAGAGAGAGGGAATGACATGCAGCAAAGGGCCACAGGCTGGAGTCGAACCCGGGCCGCTGCGGCAACAGCCTTGTACATAGGGCGCCTGCTCTATTCTCTAAGCCACTGATGCCCCTCTTTTTGAAACATTAATCCAACAAAAAAAAAAAAGATTTTGCCTGACTAATCCAGGAATGATCATGCAAAATTTTCTACTTAAAGATCTTTCTAGGGAGGCAGTATTGGCATATTCACAACTCTGCTCCAAAGCTGTATAGTCATTATTATAATTATGTCTGGTGTACCTTTAAAAGTATTAACATTCTGTATGACACGTCTTGCAAACCTCTTCATATACACACAGTAAAAATGATCTCTGTGTTTTCTTGTCAATCTTCTTCAGGCAGCTAAGATCTGCAACAACATGCTCCTGGCCATTGGGATGATTGGGACCGCAGAGACCATGAACCTTGGCATTAGGTACTGTTAGCCAATGCTGCACTAAGCTGCTGCCTACCTGTTATCCTAAAGTGAAAAGCAAGGATGAAACACTAGATTTACATGAGTGAATTTAATGTAGCTGTAACAGTTAGTTGTAGAGCACAGAAATTGTGACACAGCGAAACCTGTGAGTGGGCTGCTAAAAGTTGATATACCTAAATTAAACTTATGCCAAATAACTCCTAAAGCGATAGTTTGGATTTTTTTAAAATGGGGTTGTATGAGGTACTTATCTAAAGTCAGTGTATTACACACAGTAGATGATGGTCAGCATGCCCCCAATTTGGAGAAGCAGACAGGAGTAGCGACAAAGAAGCTAAGCAATGTACTGCTGTGAATGGGGACAGCAGCAAAATATCCTTAGCCACCAAAAAAAATGACATACTGGATTAAGTGTATGCTCTATTTAGAATATTCTCATATCTTTACCTTGCCGTCAGACAGCCCTTGGTGACAGGGGACCGAAGAAGCCGTCATCTTTTCTCACTGTAATGCCAGACTACATTGACAGAAATGGTCATTTTACCTTGCAGAACACAGGCTCACAAGTTGCTGGTCTACCACAGCCTTGATCTGTTAGTTTGTTTGTGTGACTGTGGTGTTCAAAGGGTTAGTTTGGATTCACCAACACAAAAAACACAACAGATCGAGGCAGTGATAGATCAGCAACTCCTGTATTCTGTGACGTTTTGGTCAAAGGAGTCAGGTGGCTTTGAAAAGAGCATAGATTAATATAACAGCTTCATTTCCTTGTTGGAAAGTGCTGTCTGACGGTAAAGTAAAGCAGTCACATTTTAACTGACATTAATTTATTTGGGTGGCTAAAATAGTTTTAGCTACTGCCCCCATCCACAGCAGTACATTGCTTAGCTTCTGTGTCGCTACTCCTGCCTGCTTCTCCAAACTGGGGGCGTGCTGACTGCCATTTACCTCTGGGTAATACACTATAGATAAGTACCTCATACAACCCCACTTCAAAAATAATCCAAACTATCCCTTTAAATGAAATTTGATCTTGTAATCACAATATGTTGTTCACATGCAGATGTAGCCCAGTGAGGTGTAACTTGACATGGCAAACAGCTGTTCAGTAGATCCAGTGGGGTTCCCTTTTCTTATTGAGGGATGTGGAGCAGCAGGTTTTCCCCCCGAGTCAACAAAATGAAGACATTTGGTTATAAGCAGTATGATCACCATGAACTTAAAGGGGGCACGTTTGAGGCTTCCACATTTTAGCCACGCATGAATTTGACTTCGACCTATCCCTCAGATAAAGCCGTCACTGTAAAAGCAATTACTATACCTGTGATATGGCTGTAACAATGGCAGTAATTTACTGCTTCAATATAGGTTTGGTGTGTGTGTATGTGTGCGTGTGTGTGTGTGTGTGTGTGTGTGCGCATGTGTATGGAATTACAAAGGGGTCAGCCCAGCCCCGAGTGAGAGTCGCCTGTGTCGGGGTGAGATGGATGAGGGGGTGGAGCCACAGACTCCGATTTACATCTGCTGATTGAGCTCTCACCAGAATCCTGTCACAACCCTGTCACTGAACATCACCTAAAAATCCCATCATTCATCATGGCAGAAAAGCTGAGAATGATGGGATATGTAGTCTTCTGAATTAAACCGAAAATACTTTGGGGTTAGGAGATTAGGCCTCCACATCAGTTACTCCTCACATGAAAGAACTTACCATCAGATTATTTTTTTTTACTTTAAACATGTGAGTTTATTATCTACTTTATTTATACATCCTGTGTCAATAATAGACTGTTTCTTCTGTTCACCATGTTACTATTATGTGTTTTTATGGGTTTTGCAACCTAAATGGTGTGTACACCCAGGTGTGTGCGTGTGTGAGTACGTGCATGTGCTCGTCTCACAGTGCAGCTGTGTTAGTGCAGCTGATTTATCTGTGCTGAGACAGAGGAGGAAAATTGGCATGAGCAGTCGCACATAAATCCCCCCACTAGGCTTCTGAAATATGGAGGCATTAAGGGAGCAACACAGATTTACACATTGCCACACTGTCTCTGATGCACACACACACACACACTTGGACACACAGATTTACATCCGCAGACACCGAAGGCAGCAGTTTTCTACCAAACTACAACAGCTCATACTCACCGCGCACATCATTATAACGTATGCCTATGAAAAAAAGGATAGGAATACTAACCACTGCATCCCTTCACTTTGATTGTGAATTATTTTTCAAATGCAAAACTGACCCATATCACTCTTGATTGTGTGTGTGTGCATGCATGGTGTGTGTGTGTTTCTATGGCGCCCCCCCCTCTTCCTAGTAGCCAATCTCTGGGGCTTTATTATAGGGTTTGACAAAGACTGTCATCGTTTAGAGAGAGCCCACACCCGTAAATCTCCCATGCTGCATTGCGGCCCAGCCTCTTATGCAGAAAGGACGCTCTCTTAGGTGCACAGACGCACGCACACACACGACACAGTCCAACACAAAGGAGACCCAGCACTCACAGCCAATTTACAGGAAAACGGCAATAACATTTTATCATGCTGGACTTGGGACTGATAGAGCTGCCCTTTCTTTCAAATGTGTGTGTGCGTGTTACTCCTTACCTGCACATGCAAGCAGACACACACACACACTCTCACACACACAGTTCTGTTCGCGGAGCTAATTTGTTGATCTCAGATGGAAGCTTGGGCCGTCTCCAACAGAGCGTGACGTTCTCTTAGTGCAAGGAATGGCCACGCATGACAATTATGAGCACACACACATACACACCCTGCCTTTCTGCAGATCGTTCCCTCTCTTTCGGCTTTTCCTCTCCATCCCTATTTGCTGTATCTCCTCATTTTATTCTTTTCTTTTAATCCCTTCATTTCTCCTCTGCCTGCCGTAATTTCTGCACGCAGCCAACCAGTCAATGGAGGACGGGGATGAGAAGCTGTGGAGAGTAGCGGAGAGAGGCAGTGATTTTAATGATGCACATGAAGATGAAAGGAGAGGAAGAAGAGGAAAGAGGCGACGTGGCCCGGGAAGGGATATGAGGCTTTTACAGCTTACAGTTCACCTTGAACACATGTGTACCTGCACTCATTCATGCATTCAAACATGCAGTCACAAGTAGGAACACACATATTTGCGTCTTTATTCATTTTATGGGGAGAACAACGGGCAAATCAAAGGGCATAACAAGACACAACCCTTTGTGTTGAGAGCCAGAAATAGGTTTGCCACAACACACACGAGCACACACATCTCTCCCCCTTAAATGAATTGTGAGCATATGTTCCGATGAAGATTAAAGTTGGGCGATAAATGCGCTTGTTGCCTCTATAAATGGGACAGTAAATGCTTGTGTGTGTATGTGCTCGTTAGCTCTTTAATGTAATAATAAATGGGGAATGGGTTGGGCTTCCTCTCCTGTGGCATCAGACGAGGACGAGGAGCTAATCGCAATGAAACAGACAGTTAATATCAGCGCTGCAAATGAACTCCACCTGCTAGAGCTCCCCAACACATAAACACCCTCCCCTCTTATCTCCATCTCCGTGCCTCTCGCTCTCACATTTCTTTAATGTGCAGCGGCATCGCACAGCCGCACTATGTCTCACCGTTTGTGTCTTTGTGTGTTTATCCATGTCAATCTTGTTAAAGGCTGACATGTCCTCTTCGCCACGCAAATTATCGTAGGCGAGGAACAGCACCACTGCGTCAGCTAATAACCACGGCCGTGTGTGTGTGTGTCTGTGTGTGTGATGGGACCAGGAGAGGAACTTCATTGATTTATCGTTAACAGAGGACAACAGCTCCCCGTCAGCGTCTCTGGTCGCTATAACAAACGATCTGCGCGCTCGGACGCGCTTTATTGTAGCTCAGCCAGTAACCTTTTCAGCTGCTGACCCAGAACGCAGGGAGGGGCTGCCTGCTTGTGTGTGCGCAGAGAAATGGAGTTGGGGGGGGGGTGTTGTGTGCGATGTCAAACATATGTCCCCCAGAGTCCTCAGACAGGGAGGTGTCAGCAGGGAAGACGAGGGGGTGGAAGAGGAGATGAGGCAGAGGAGAGGAGAAACAGGATGGCGAGGGATGCTTTCAGACATAAACTAAAAAAGCCATCATGAGCGAGACTGCCATTAAAAAAATTGCAAGTTAAAACACATGTTCACACACACGCATGCACGCAGCGTCACTTATGCCACATTTCCAAAACACTTTGTTAAAAAAAAAAAAAAAAACAAGCGCGGGACACAAAAGAGACGAACGGTAAGGGAGGAGGGAGAGACATGGAGAGAGTGTAAACGCAATTCCCATTCTTAATTAGTTAGTAGACAGCTAATAAAAACTGTGGTAGTAATAGTAGAATGAGAGCCAGGTGGAGGGAGGGAGGGAGGGAGGCTGCTGGCCTTAAGGACCTATGATGGTTTAATAGTCATATTGAGAGCAGAATAGAGTTACAGGCCTGTAAGTAACAGTGAAGTGAGGCAACCAGGGCTTGATGTGGTCCACTTTACACTGGCCTTTAAACTGTTAATATACAAAAGCTGCACTCCACAGACCGACACAGACGCTACAGTTACACCCTCTCCACTGTAATGGTTGGCACTTTGTTTCACTCCCTGCTTCTGTCTGTCTGGGTCTCACTTGCTTTTTGCTTCTTCTTATCAGAGCCTGGAGATTTGTCCTCTTGCATATGAAAGTAGGTTGTTGCAAAATGGGGCAGCAGAAGTAAGAGCGCACTTCTGTATACGTGACAGCGTAGGTTTATGGCTCCCCTGTGCTGCTTAACCACTTTTCCTTCTCCTCCTCCACTTTCTTTTTTTCCATGAAAGAGGGATGATGAAGGATAGATGTGCTGGTAAACATCAATACTGCATTAGCCAGCATTACAAAGCCTTCAGCCATTAACACTGAGAAATGGTCACAGTCTAGCATAAGGTTCAATGGGGGTCACTACAATCACCAGCCGCCCCACACCCATCTTTTTCCCCGTTTCTCTTTTGCTCAGTTTTGAAAACGAATTCCATAATTGGTGCTGCTATCCCTCCCATACCGTCTGTCCCATTTCCTTACTACTTCTCGCATAAATCCTCTTTCCTTTTCTGTCGTTACCAGCAGTTTCCACCTTTATCTCGCCACATTATACTGAGTCATGTTGGATTAAATCATCAGCCAGAAGCCTCTCACACACAAGTAATACATGTATTCTTCTGTTTAGGACACATTTATAGTGTACTTCATACAAGGGAGAGTTCTGTGGCTAATACTGTCAAAGTTTTACCTTCTGCGTCAGTGTGAGAAAGACTGTTGCAGGGTCTATGTACCCAATGTGATCATTTTACACTAATGATCGAGCCATGAATTTCCCTGTCACTAAGTCTGAAGGACACGCTGACCTCTGTCTTCTCCTCCTTTTCCCAGACTGGGTTTGGACCCCAAGCTGCTGGCGAAGATCCTCAACATGTCCTCAGGTCGTTGCTGGTCCAGCGACACATATAATCCAGTCCCCGGCGTCATGGAGGGAGTCCCCTCTGCTAACAACTACCAAGGCGGCTTTGGAACTACACTAATGGCCAAGGTACAACCTGCTCCCTGTCTCATTGTCACGTTTCTTTTTTTTAATGATTATTTTTATTTTTGATCAACATCTTGATTCCTTTTGTTTTGCTTAATTGATTTTTTTTTCTGTTCAGTCTATAAAATGCCAGACAATTGTGAAAATTTTCAAGCGGACTTTTTTTGTTTGGTCCATCCAATAGTCCAAAATAGATTTACAATTCACGAATAAATAAAACATAAAAAAATCCTCAACTTTGAGAAGCTGTAAGCAGCAAAAGTTTGGTGTTTTTTCCCCCAGAATAAAAAAGTAATTTATCAAAGGACATTTAATTTTCTGCTAATCGACCACTTATCTGTTTCTTTTCCTTTTTACTGTTTTTTGTTATTCTCAACCCTATTATTTTGCTTTGTCTCACTTTTAACTGCTCTTTTGTCTTGTGTGATACGCCCACTCTCCTTTTCACCATCCCATCTGTGACTTATTGTGTGCCACTTAATTTTACTGTCACTGCATTAGCTCCTCTGTGTGTGTGTTATTTAGTGCATCTGGGCGTCTGTTAATACACTTGCAGTGTGTGCTCTGCATACACAAGCTTGGGCTCAAGAAATGTCACAGAATTAGAAGAAACTCTCTCTCTCTTACAGTCGTGTATATAAACAAGAAGAGATTATAATATTTGTCCATCTATGTGACTTTGTCTCTGTGTCTCTCTTTCTAGGATCTTGGTTTGGCTCAAAACACTGCGACCAACACTAAGACACCCATCCCTCTGGGTTCCCTCGCCCACCAGATCTTCCGAGTCATGTGCTCCCGCGGCTACGCTAACAAGGACTTCTCATCCGTCTTCCAATTCCTACGTGAGGAGGAAGGACAGTGAATGGAGGGGGAAGCACAGTTGACTGTGATGTTACCATACATAAACACACACACGCACACACACACACACACTACAATGACAATTACACACCGACACCCCAGTGCCCCTTATCCCACTATGCTCAGGAGAGACTAAGGCCTTGCCCTCAGGCTCAGATCGGCGGTCCAATTAACATACTGTATGTCGGCACATGCCCCGTTGTTGCATTAGGCTGAATCATATTTTCAATTCACATCTCTCTCTCTGCATGGGGGAAATGCTAAAACTGACCTTAGATCAGTATCTAGAGACAAAGCAACTCTCTTCCCAGTCTGGGCTGAGAGGCCACAGTGGAAAATGAGAGGTAGGATGAGGCACTGCTGGTGTTTATGTACCAATGCAAATAATACATGGTTTTTGAGGAAGATTGATAAGTAATAACTGCATGATTGTTAAAAGTTTAAGTACGCTTTTATCGGGTTTGTGGTTGTTGCCTGCTGTTACCCATATGACTCGGACCTGTCCCTGTTAAATGACACAGGACAGAAAAGAAAACGCAAGCTACCATAGGGATTGATATAGTGATGGAAATTTCATTGAAGAGGAGTGCAGGAGAGTGCAGAGTTTAGTTTACTCTTTTTTCTACTGGTGAAAAAAAAATATCCCATAATCACAGCAGTACATCAAAGGCAACTAAAACTGGCCACACAAAGTTCATTTGTTACATGTTTTTGTCAGGAGGGTGGTGTCAGTCGTTTACCTAGTAATGACCTGAGTCATACTGCCAGCACTTACTTTCATTTGATTTCATTTTTCAGTCATCCAGTGAACTTTTACCTTGTGGATACACTAATGTTACAGTAGTTTCATGTTAAAGCAACACATACGTCACTACTCACAGGACCGGACCACCTCTGCTTGTTAAAATACTGTGATATACTGTATATCCGGTTATTTTTACACTGTGTGCGTCGCAGTGCGATGTGCCGGGCCATTTTGATACGGTTACAGAATCTCTTTGAACTTACCTCTATTCTTGACTGTCTACAGCTGCTTATTGAGCCACCGGAGTATTATTTTGTGACCAACACTGTTTGAATTTTATACTGTTCACTACACAAGATATTGTTCTCACTGTCAAGCACTGTCTCTCGCCCGCATCGACTTAAATCAAAGTCTGTCCTCACATTTCTCCTCTGTCTCTCTGTGTCTCTCTCTCTCTCTCAGCTTGTACAACATCTGTGTAAAGTGTAAGCGAGGAACAGTTCCTCCCTGCTCTGAGCATCATGTACATAATGTATATTTCATATTGTTGCGTCGTACTCAAGAGGAGTCCAAATGGGCTGTCATTTTTTTTTTGTAGTAAAATTCATGAATAGTGTCTACAGTTTGTCTTTGCTCTGTGAAACAGATCCTCAGTCACTCTGTAGCCTAAAATAAAAGATTTTCAGTGAATTTGATTCTTTGTCTGGTTTTGTAAGATAAGCGCAGGATGTTGCTGAAGATGTGGCACTTTTTATTGAAGGTATAATTTATTATAGCTCGTGTAATTATCTCTGTGTTGAAGTAACTGACATACTGTGCTTAGAATAAATTTTGTAAGTGATTAGTGCAGTAGGTGCAGAGCTTTGAGAGTGGCTTTGTGGCCATTTTACCTCTTAATGGATGAGAACAGACCCCAAAATTGTTCATACTTAACATACATGTAAAACCTATTGTGTGTGTTTGTCCAAAGTAAATAGTGTGTAAGTAAAATTTATTTGTATAGCACTTCTCACAGAGAGAACTCAAAAAGGATTAAAACACAAACCAAGAATACATACATACAAACATACAGAGACACAAAATGAAACAGCAGCAGTTGTTGCAAAACTAAATCACTTAAGACAAGTTGAAGAATGCCTGCCCATAGAGGTAGGTTTTAAGGTGCTTCTTAAAAACTTCAACAGATGCTGCGGCCCTCAAATTCTGTGGGAGGGCATTCCACAATCTGGGCGCAATGGACTCAAAGGCCCGGTCACCTCTAGTCCTGAGCCTTGTGTGAGGAACTGCCAACAGGCCGTGATCGTCCTACTAGGAGCGTATACATGCGGCAGGTCAGACAGATACTCAGGTGCCTGACCATGAAGGGCTCTATATGTTAAAACAAGGATTTTGAACTGGATCCTAAAGCTGACAGGAAGCCAGTGTAGGGAGGCCAGGACAGGAGAAATGTTGCAGTTTTTGGATGATTTGGTGAACAGCCTGACAGCAGCATTCTGCACCAGTTGAAGGCAATCTACAGAAGTTTTACTAAGACACATGAAAAGAGAATTGCAGTAATCCAGACGTGATGACACAAAAGCATGAATGATCATTTCCAGTTCAGCATGTGATACAACAGATCTCAGTTTTGCAATGTTTTTAAGGTGGAAAAAGCATGTACGGGTCAACGCATGGATGTGTTTATCAAAGTGCATGGCCTGGTCAAGAATAACTCCGAGATTTCTCAGGTTAGAGCAGATATTTGAATTCAGGGACCCAATACAGCTAGCCACCTTAGAACCAGTACAGTAAGGAGCAACAATAAGGACCTCAGTCTTAGCAGCGTTAAGCTGGAGGAAATTGTTGACCATCCAATCATTAATTACCGACAAACAGTCATGCAGTACATTCAGACTGTCGGTCCTGTCAGGATTAAAAGAAAAATACAGCTGAATATCATCTGCGTACATATGGTATGATATGTACGCAGTGTGTGTAGCAACAATTCAAGATGGCTGATGCCATGTTTAATTTAAAATGAACCCAGATGACAAAACACGTTCATGCACCCACTTTATTTAACTACCTGCTGAAGACATGTCTGTAGCCAATCCCTGGTTATACTGGAACAAGACTGGTGGTTCTGTTAGGCTGCATGTAGGCACAGTGGTGCTTTGATCTCGATTCAAACATGCTGATACACTGCTCATAAAAATTGAGGGAATACTTAAACCACACGTGAGATCTTGATGTACTCTTTACTGATGTACATTGTATAATTTGTTGAGAACAAACTGACGTAATAACGGTCTGTGGAAACCAAAATCATCAACCCACTGAGGGCTGGGTTCAAAATCACACCAGAATCAGTCAGGAAGGATAACAAGCAACTGTCTATGGCCACCACATGTAAAACATTCCCTTTTCGGGGGTTGTCTTGCTTGTGAATGTCAGAGGTTTTGCAGGTGTTTGGTCATAAACTGAAGTAGTGGATGAATTTACATTTTGTTAGATAAAATGTCAGCAAAGTGATTGCAACTCATCCTGTGCCATATTTCATGTCATTAATACAAGTTGTATTAGTTTCAAGTAAATTTGACATAAAATGTGTAGTTATTTTTTATTTTCAGACCTCCTCAGAACTTAAAAACACGAGTCCATTTGACATCAAGTTTTTAAGTTCATTTTGAGTTGAGTTCACTCATCAGATTTTTTTTCTTTAAAAACACAATTAGTGTATTTGAAGTCTTCCCAGCACAGCTAAAAGTCCACAGAGACCTTTCTTTTTTTAGTTTGAGGAAAGCAGACATGATGGAAACTTGTGTATCAATGAGAATCACTATAAGGGTCAGCATTCCAGCGAAGAAGCTGATAAAATGTAAATATAATTCATCTTTAGTTCAGCTTACTCACATTTGTAAGGCAGCAGGGAAACTTATGTTTTCGAGTTTAACTAGCTGGAAAAGTTTTTACAGTGTGGCAGAGAAGGAAAAGTCTGGTGATCATCAGTTATTATTATTTATCCATGGGGAAACATGAATATCTGAAAAGAATTTCATGGCAATCCATCCAATAGAGACCCAGATATATCCCTAAAAACCCAAAATGCCAGTCTGCTAGAGGAATAATCTGATGGTCACTAAAGACACTGGGATTTAGACATTTCAAGGCAATCTATCCAGTAGTTGTTTAGATATTTCAGCCACTGACATCATTTAAATCAAGGGTCTAGGGATATGTCCTTATCTGTACAGTTTGTGAAGCCCCTCAGGGACGAGCTTGTGTTTGGCCCCTTACTTAAGAGGTAAAGTGACCAACCGGACAATAACACTGAATCTTTCAACTGGCTCCATCTCACCATGCGTGCACTTATCTTGGTCATTTGGGTCCATGTTTCAGAGACAGTTACAAAAGACATATTCATTTGGATTTTGTTAATATCCAGCCACCCTGCTCCTCAGTGGGCTGTTGTTTCATTGTTTCTCCAAAGCCTTTCAGCAGGCGCTCATATAAAGCTTAACGTCAGTCGGGGAGAAATAGCAGCACTAATCTCAGAATGATGCCCTTATTTCCATCATTACAATGAAATGAGGGGAAAGAAACAAATGCGGTTTTGTTTTATTTTACTCCCTTTTTTTCGGAGGGCTGGTGTTCCTTCGCGACATTTTATGGAGCTGCTGTCGTCTAAGTGGCAGCCACAGTTGTAGCAGACTGTGGCGAGCCGTTGGTGGCAGGGGTTGTGTCGTGGGCTTGTGACTCACTCTGTTATTGTTCCTTGGGAAGTATGCACTTGCCTCATCTGCATGCTTCGAAGATTAAGATTCAAAGTACTTCTAGGTTTAAACTAAGAAGCCTTTGATATCACAAACTGTGTTTCTTCCCATGAAAAAACTGTCAGGCAGGACTTAGTCTCTTTAAGCCTCCAGCACCATCTTGGCCTCTGCAGACAGCAGACTCTGGTCTTCCTGAGGTCTAGCTAAAGAAGAGCTACGCCTCTGGCCTGGCCTGCTGAATTAGGCAGCGTAGCTGATTCATATTTGGGTGTTTTAATTTGCCTGTGTTTTATAGCAGGCAGCTGAGCCGGTGGTTTCCTCATTAAAGGACACATGAAAGCAGGCTGTAAAGGAGCCTTGGTGAGACCGGCCTGCGCTGACGTCTGAAGGGGACGCGAGCGACCGAAGGACCGACCGACTCCCGAGCCAGCCGGTCTGAGCCGGAGGGCCTCACCCACTCAGCCGGGCAGCCAGTGGTGGGACACCAGACACGCCACACTGAATTGCATCCACACCAGGATACGACACCAGTCTGATGTGTCAGCAGGAGTTCACTGTTTGATGCAGGCTTGTGTTTGCATTGTGGTATTGGAACAATAGTCCAGTCCAGATACAGAATATATTGCATTATTACTTTTTCAAGCATCACGCAACCTTTCACTAGTTTAGGAATTAAATTTCCGTATGTAATACACAGATGACCAAGTTCCTATTTCTGCTGGTGTGTTCTCAGACTTTGAAGTTAATCACCCTCCTGGTAAATCCCCCCCTTTTTGCCATTTAGACAATAAAACAGCCTCCACTCTGGGAGTTGCTGCTTTGATAAATACCTGAGGCAACAGCGTCCATTATTTCACCATTATAACTGCTAGTGGATCCTCTCGGCTGTTTAACGACTCGCTCTTTAAGGAAGTAAGAGCAGCGAGGTCACAGCACAGTGAGGGGGGGCGGCAAGGCTCCTCTAAGCACTCCGTGATTCATATCAAACGCACGTTAAGTGGCATGTGGCTAAATTAGTGGCTGGTATCTAGCAGGTATAATAGCTCGCCCGGCGGTGCGTAACGAGCCACTGTCTCACTGTGTAGTAATGTGGCCTTGATATCTTTTACATGAAGCCACCAATAATAGTCAGGCCATTTAGCCTTAGCCCATATCCACACCCACGGCGCTGGCACATCAGTACAACACCCACACAAGTCTTCTTCCTGTTTTGTAGACAACATTCCCCCATCCTGAGTCATTGGCTCCGCTTAGGTTCATTAGTGAAGATAATTCTATTGCAGACAGCGGGTCAGCACATAACATGTCACGACGACAGCGAGGCACATAACAGCAGCTAATTATAACTATGAAGTCCTCATTAGAATATCTATGGGGGTGTAGTTAGTTGTTGGGAAACAATGGACCCACTACTTGGTTTAAATGTTGTATCTCAACATTATGAGTGTGGATATGTGGGAGAAAGGACCCCATATAATCTGCCCCTGCTTGTCTTGTCATGCTGTCTTGTTCCCACTCACTTCTCCTGCCTTTGTTACTCGCTCAAAGCTGGACATGTGTTCAAGGGCGTGCAAATAGTTTAATCAATGTGTCCCCCTTCTAAGATGTTAACATCCCTGCTATCCTCCAACATTATATTGATTCATTTATACGTCCCCATCCTGCTCTGGATTTCTCTTACTGCCCTTTCCTCCTCTTTCACAGTACACTTCCCTCTTCATATTACCCCCCACACACCCTCTGTCACCTGTGAGTAACGACAACACGCACACGCTATTCATCACACACTTCTGCACATGCTCAGTAGCTCTTCATTATATTAATTATTCTCATTGGAAGAGTGATCATCAGCTCCGTCAGAATCCATCATGGCCCGGTTCCCACAGAGACCCAGGCCCGGTAAATTATCACCAGTGTTGGTACCAGGGCTCCGGCCCCGTCGC